CAAATTTTAGGATTGTTTATTCTAGCTCTGTGAAAAATGCTGTTGTTATTTTGATAGGGATTGCATTAAATGTGTAGATTGCTTTGGGCAATATAGATTTTTCACAAAATTTGTTCTTCCAATCCATGAGCATGGAACGTTTTGCCATTTCTTTGTGTCTTCCTCAATTTCTTTCATCAGTGTTTTGTAGTTTTCAGAGTACAGATCTTTTACCTCTTTGGTTAGGTTTCTTCCTAGGTATCTTATGGTTTTGGTGCAATTGTGAATGGGATCAATTCCTTGATTTCTCTTTCTTCTGCCTCATTGCTAGTGTATAGAAATGCAACTGACATCTGTGCATTGATCTTATATCCTGCCACTTTGCTGAATTCCTGTATGAGTTCTAGCAATTTGGGGGTGGAGCCTTTCGAGTTTTCTATATAGAGTGTCATGTCATCTGCAAACAGTGAACGTTTCACTTCTTCCTGGCGTTTTGGATGCCTTTTATTTCTTTTTGTTGTATGCTTCCTGTGGCTCGGCCTTCCAGTGCTATGTTGAGTAACAGTGGTGAGAGTGGACATCCCTTGACTTGTTCCTGACCATAGAGGAAAAGCTCTGTTTTTCCCCATAGAGGATGATATTAGCTATGGGCTCTTCATATATGGCCTTTATTATGTTGAGGTATGTTAGAGGGTCCCTCTAACCCTACTTTGTTGAGGGTTTTTTTTTTTTTTTATCATGAATGGATGTTGTACATTGTCACATGTTCTTTCTGCATCTATTGAAAGGATCATATGGTTCTTTACCTTTCTTTTATTGATGTGGTATATCACGTAGATTGATTGTTGAATATTGAGCCACCTTGCAGCCCAGGAATAGATCCCAGTTGATCCTGGTGAACGATTCTTTTAATGTACTGTTGGATTTGGTTTGCTGGTATTTGAATGAGAGTTTTTGCATTCGTATTCATCAGGGATATTGGCCTCTCATTCTCTTTTTTAATGGAGTCTTCATCTGGTTTTGGTATCAGGGTAATGCTGGCCTCATAGAATGAATTTAGAAGTTTTTCTTCCGTTTCTATTTTTTGGAATAGTTTGAGAAGAATAGGTATTAACTGTTCTTTAAATGTTTGGTAGAATTCCCCTGGGAAGCCATGTGGCCATGGACTTTTATTTGTTGGGAGATTTTTGATTACTGATTCAATTTCTTTGCTGGTTATTGGTTTGTTGAAGCTTTCTATTTCTTCCTCTTTCAGTTTTCGTCATTTATATGTTTCTAAGAATGTATCCATTTCTTCCAGGTTGTCCAATTTGCTGGCGTATAGTTTTCCATAATATTCTAGTTGCTTGTATTTCCGCGGTGTTGGTTGTTATTTCTCCTTTCTCATTTGTGATTTTATTTATTTGGGTCCTTTCTCTTTTCTTTTTGGTAAGTCTGGCTAGAGGTTTATCAATTTTGTTAATCTTTTCAAAGAACCAGCTCCTGCTTTCATTGATCTGTTTTACTGGCTGTTTTTTAGGTTCTGTTTCATTTATTTCTGCTTTAGTCTTTATTATTTCCTTCCTTCTTCCTGGCTTTAGGCTTTGTTTGTTGTGCTTCCTGCAGGTGGCTTTGTGTTTATGCTGAGGGGTGGGGAGTGAAATGGCACTAGCCAGCTCCCCTGTTCCCGGAGGTATCTCCGTGAACACTGTCTCTCAGAGATGCACTCTGAGAAGAGTGAACAGTCTCTCCTCTGTGTTCTGCAGGTGTTCTTCAGATCATTTTCCATGCTGTCTCTCCCTGGATTGTTTGCCTTCCTTCTTTCCGGGAGCAGCACAGCACCTCCAGGCCTCTATCTCAGCAAAACCCATTCTCCTTTATGCTTTTCCCTCTCCCTCTGCTTCTCCCCCTGCTCATGCTCTCTCTCTCTGTGTATCTCTGTGTCTCGAATGAATAATAATAATAAAAAAAAAAAAACTGCAGGCTTTAAGCCCCACTTGGAGCAAGAATTCAGAAAATTCAACCACTCTCATTTTCCAAGCCAATGGCTTTAGGGAAATGTTCTCCTTGTGCATTCCTCTGTGTGCTGGTCTCTCTCTTGCCCTTCTCTGCAACCTTAGCTCCCTCCCCTCCACTGCACTTGAGATTCCTTTCTCCCCTAAGCCCACTCTTCACACTTCCTACCTTCTTCAATGGGGCCTCTTCTCTCCCTTTATTTGAGGAGTTTCTTCTGACAGTCTTCATGTCTATTTCTGGGATATTTAGGATGATTTTTAGTTATCTAGTTGTGTTTGTTGGATGAGGCAAGCCTAGGGTCCTCCTACTCCACCACCATCTTCCTCTCAACCTGCACTGGGCATTTCTATCTGGATATTCCACAGGGTCTTCAAAAACACTGTGTCCAAAATTGAGAGCAACTTTCCCACAAAACCTGTTCTTCTATGATTAATTATTGTTACCATCCACTTAATTTTCCAAGTTAGACTTTTTCCCCCTCAATCTTTCTCCATTGTTCCATGTTTTTTTAAAAGATTTTATTTATTTATTAGAGAGAGAGAGAGAAAGATCAAGAGCATAAGTGGTGGGGAGGGGCAGAGGGAGAGGGAGATGCAGACTCCCTACTGAGCAGGGAGTCCAATGTGGGGCTCAATCCCAGGACCCCGGGTTCATGACCTGAGCCGAAGGCAGACACTTAACCAACTGAGCCACCTACTTGCCCATCCAATGCTCTATGTTTGAAAGGTCAGCCAGGTCTCCTTGTGCCTATCTCATATCTGTCCTTCTATTCCATTTCACTGGCAATGCCATAGGTTAGGGCCTCATCAATTGTTGCCATGATGATTAGCCTCCTAATTGGTCTCTGTCTCCAGTCTTTACTCTCCCATCTATCTTTCCCATTACTAACAGAATGAGGTTTTGTTTTTGTTTTGTTTTTTGTTTTGTTTGTTTCACAACTCAGTCATCTCAGAGTATGCATTGTCATGCTTAGAAGTTAACATGATTCCCCATGGACTAAAGTATAAAGACCAAATTCCTTAGTATGTCATATAAGGTTTTACAATCTGGACCCAGTCTATCTTTCTGGCCTCACCTCCAGATAAGCTTCCCTCTTTTCACCCCCACATTGTAGCCAAAGTGCAACACTAATCACTTACTGAACCTGTCTTGCATAAGCTGTTCTGCCTTGCTGAACCCCTTCCTTCTCTTCTTGATGGGCCACTTCCCATTTTCATTTAAGTTTTAAATTTTTTATTGGTTGTGGAAGAGAGATGAATGAGGAAGTAACGTGTTTCAAATGTCAGGCTACAGTCGGGTACAAATGGAAAGCAAAAAGGAGCAGAACAAAAGTTAAACAGATCATTATTTTCATCAGAGAGAAGAGCTTGCCAACAATGTCTATAGATGGTACTGATGTGGCTAGTCTGAGGATCTTGACCAGTGGCCAGCATGTAGATGTACTGATGTAAGTGGTGGTCACAAGGTGGGAGTATAGACAAAAGTGGTAGTTTTTTTTCCTATGTGGATACTAAATGGGAGGAACCTGTATGGCTTTATGGCTCATGACACACTGGAAGACAGGTGTATCCACTTCAGTCTTGCCACACTCCTGGCAAGATGGAATCTGGGGATAAGGAACAGGATTAAATCTAGGTTCCAGAGGCCTAAACATAGGATAAGTAGAGTGGTGCTTTAGTCTGAAGTGCCTGGTTTGGCTATAGCCCCCCCTTATTTTGTGAGTTGGTCCAAGAATTCCCTGAGCAGTAGGTGACAAAGCTCAGAAAGCAGTTACCAATCTTTCCATACTCTCAACATCAGTTTGGCTATAGTTTTCCTATTAGAAGTTGACCTGCCTTAAAGATTCTACTGGACTTTGTTAATGCCTCTTACATATTCTCTCTCAATACATTGGTTCCCTGTCCAAGGATACAGATGAATTCCTCATAATTTTTGGTGTATTTCTACTCATTTTTAAGCCCCAAATTAGATATCACTTCCTCTAAAAGAGTGTTCTTATAGATATACCCAGTTCACTCTGTTAATTCTAGTTTACTTCATCCCATCTCCTTGGAACTTATTTCTCATATGGCTTATTCTAGGGAGGGAGGAAGGATCACCGGGAAATAGGAAGTGGTCCTGCTCAAAAGTGGGTACTATATTAAGAGTATTAAAGAGTCTCTCTGTCTCTCTCTTTCATTTTTTTTCTCAAGAGGGACATTTGACTAAGCCTGATTTAAAAACATCCTAGGCAAAAACTTTACTGTATTGGTAAGAGAAATCTGGGAGCTTGACCTGATTTTTATCTGTTATGGTAGAATAAATAGCAAATTATTGTCTAAGGAGAACTGGACCTGGTTTAATGGCTGACTGCCAAGCAGAACTAGGGTGACTTGCTGTGCAGTATCATGTCCTGGTGAGTTAGGTCTCACAGTTTTGACTAGATGATGTTAAACTCACCCTAGCTCCACTGCTGGTAAAGGCACATTGTTCTTTTAACTGACCACCTAGAAGAGTTATACTCTTATCACCCATCAGGAAACACAATTTCAAACTCTCTAAAAAGCAACATGGAGCAAAATCACAAAAGAGTCCCTAAAGGCTGAGCAACCATTTCTTTAGGTATTCTAGTCTAAAGAGTCCCAAATGCCAGGCTTTGGACAATTTGTACCAATACCTTAGAAGTTTTAAAAACAAACTGGAATGAAGGTAGGAAGGAAGGAAATAAAACAAAAAAATAGATTCCCAGGCCCCACTCCTGGAGATTTTGTTTTAGTGGGTCTAGGGTGGAAAGCAAATCTGTTTATGTTTTTGTTCCCTCAGGTATTTCCAGGTGATTTATATCATACCACCTAATGTTTACCTATGTTTATTCTAAGGCTGTTTATGTGAGTGTTGCATTCTATATATTCTTATCAGCTGCCCTTTTAGAATATAATAGAGTCTAAATAAGTAAACTAACAAAAAAATAAGACCTACATTGAATGTCATGTTTTTTTGCAATATTACTTAGCATGTGAGTACTGTGTGTGTGTGAGAGAGAGAGAAGCAGAAGAGAGGAAGAGATAGAAAAACAGTCAGAGACTCAAAGATACAACAGATACAGAGACAGGCAAAGAAAGGGACAGGGGAGAGAGAGACAGAAAAAGAGTAAAACAAACAAATAGGGAGACAGAGAGACACAGAAACAGAGATATAAGCAGAAAAACACAAAGAGAGACAGAAAGAGACTGAGAATGACAAAGACACAGAGAAAGAAAGAGTATGAGAGAGACAAATAGAATAACAAGGACAGAGACAAAAACAGATGTATAGGGTGAGAGAACAGGAAACAGAGAGACAGAACTAGGGGAGAGAAAGGGACAAACAGAGAGACAGAGATGGAACTGCATAGAAACAGAAGAAGAGAATGTAAGACAGCAACTGTGATGCTCATGATCCATTTATTAAAAAGTAACTTGGTGTCTCTTCTGTCATCTATGTGTCTTACCTTCCTGTTTTTCGGGAAGCTGTTTCAAAGAACCTGGTCCTGGAAGCCACCCTGCAAACAGAAGCCAATCAAGTCCCATGAGTTGCTCTGGAATACATATGAGAACCAACAGACAATGGACAAGACAAAAAGTATAAACCAGACAGGCCACCAATTGAAGGGTCTTCCCTAGCTTGCAAAGGACCTGGGTCTAAGGAGAAACCAAATATCAGAATGTGAAATGACTCAGAGACCATAAGCACCCCCAAGGCTATGTCTAACGCCCTTTGCTTTCCCTTGGTTCAGAGTGGTCTAAGTATGTTGTTTGTTCAGGCTATTCTTATGAGAAATAAGTGAAACAAGTCCTTGGCTTCAATGTATAAATTTTTGACATTTTCATAAATACACTTAGCTACTTAATCAACATGATAGAGGCTTTGTTTTTCTTATTTCACCCATTTTACAATTATGGAAAACAAGAGACACAAGAAAAAGGAATACTAGGAGGCAGTATATGAGAGGGGTCCCAAGCACTGGCTGAAGAGAGACCAGTCAGGCTAGTTATGACCATACAAGGCTGGTCCTTGAGAGCTGCTGTGGCCCTGCCTTCGCTACTTTATACCTGGTTCCTTGGCTTCCAGTCCTACCTCAGGAAAACGTGCTGGCCATTAGCTCAGTTCTTACCCTGCAAGAGGCTCTCTGGAGAATCTGAGTCATTTTAGGAGATTAAAAAAAAAATCATACCATTGATTTAAAAAGAAAGCCGGAAGGCACAAGTACAATGAACAAATCTGTTCATTAAATTTCTTTTAAAAACAGTAGCAATAATAAGAAAATATGAAAAATTTCCAGAGCCAAGGGAGCATGAAAACAGAAGTTAATCTTATCACCCTACAGAAATCAGGGCAGTGTTAGTGAAATCTCTCAGCCTTGGGTGCTGAGTGGAACACTCCAAACAGGGCTTGTCTGTGACATTTCCCTAGACTATGAAGTGAATGATACCCTGGGGTTGTGCACTGTATACCCTTCACAACCATTATGGTGATCCTGGAAAGAACTCCTGGTGGCCTAAGATGAGCCTTAGGCCAAGGTTGAGGAAAAACTCTACTTACACAGATGATGGGATTTCCCCTGCATTGCTAACCACAATATCTGGCTTTGGTTCTGGCTTCTGGGGAGTAGCTGCCCGGCACGGAGGGTCTGGAGGCCTCACTGGGGGACGGACGATGGTAGGCTTTTCTCCCGGAGGCCGCACTTTGCTGAAACTGTCAGAGTCTCCTGAAAGAGAAAATGTAGTTGAATGGTTAGCCAAATGGAACACTATTCATGAACAGGCACCCAATATTGGAGTTATCTGGGCTACCTCCCTTAGGGCCCACTTATTTTTGGTCATAACAACTCTGGATTTCTTTTCCATTTTTTTTTTTTTAATTCTTCCAGCAGCTTAATCCTTCAGAAAGACTATGTTTGAAACCCAGCTCTAGAACTTCTATTTGTGTGACCTAGGTAGGGTATGTCATATCAATCTGCTAGGTCTTAAGTTACCTCATCTATATAATGAAGACCAATAATACATTATCTTACAAAGATATTAAAATTTTAATTAGGTACTAACATGTTTAGTATGAGCCTGGCACATAGTAGGTATTTAGGCAATATCTGATGATGAATTTGAATTTATTAAATTCATAATTACCCAAACTCAGGCTCTTTTTACTTAGACATTGACTATCGCAGCAGTCCCCTAACTTGCCTCCCTGCTTCTATGTCTCTGGTTTCCAGGTCAGTCAATATAAAATAAATATATATAATTTTTTATGAAATGGATTTAGCAGGAGTTTTGGCAGGAGAGACACTGATGCACTTACACATTGCTGGTAGCACTGTACACTGGGCTTATTCTATTTACATAGCCATAAAGAATTCTGGAAAAATGTTGATGAAATGCAAAAGCATACATATGAGATAGTTCATATTTGTTGATCCAATGGATCCATTTTGGGGAACAGGCCAAGGGAATTAACCACCAAAAAACAGGAAAAACAATTGACACAAAAACATTCTTCTTAATAGAAGAAACTTGGGCCCAACCACAAAGACTAAGCAAACCATTTTGTACAAGTACTTAACCAACACATATTATACATGAACTGACAAGGATTTGGGCTGGGTCAAAAAAATATGTGCATTTAAGTGGAAAAAATCCACACACAAAAAGTACTCATGGCCTGATGAACACGATATGGAAATAGGCATATGTACAACTATGCAAGGTTGTTAGTGGGTGGGGGGGGATGTTGGGGAGGGCAAGTCCCACACTCTTGTGCTCTGGCACAACTGCTCTTCTCTGTCAAGCTCACCTCAATTCCAGCATGGTGGGCCTCTTCCCCAGACCAGCACAGGCCCCTGCCCACATCACATTCCTAAACCCTAGAGTTTTAAAAGTCAGCAGACTTGAAGTAATGAGCATTTGGTGTTACAAGCAACTGATGAATCACTAAATTCTACCTCTGAAACTAAAAATACAGAATATGTTAATTAAATTGAATTTAAATAAAAAATTAAAAAACAAACAAATAAGCACCTAATGAACCTTTATTTTTAATTTGGAAGATGCATTTGTGGTTAATATTTGGAAAAATTAACTATACTGGCCTTTTTGATTTGCCAAAATGATGGAGGGACCTGCTGGCATTTGAAAGGATAGGTCAATATGCTGGATAGTCCATACAAGGAAGAACTGTCTCACCAATCGATGTTTCTTGATGAGCACCTTGCCACAAGGTAGTTATACATACACTGGACATAATACTGTGGTATTGTACATAGATCCCTTTTTCTTTCACAATTTTCATTAATGCTATTACATATAAAATTTATCTGGAAATGAGGAAGTCAATGACTTCCCATATAGATCCCTTTGCAGAAACTTATGTAAATGATCTGAATTGAAGAAACTAGAGAAACCCAAATATGGAAACAGAGTTTATTCAAAAAAACACTTAACTCCATTTTCTCCAGGCACTGTGCTGGGTGCCTTAGAGGGTGCAAAGATGAATAAGATATGGCTCTTGCTCTTAAAAAGAAAATAAAGTGAGCAGGCTTTGCTGGGATAGAGCCCGGAGAGCACTGTGATGCTCCTGAAGAGAAGGCAGTATACAACGCGGAGTCAAATAGTGTGGAAACAGCAATCTGAAAAACCCCTGGGACATATGGTGGGGCGGTTACTTGCTCTTCTTGGAGTGCTTCCCTGTGAGGCAGTGTGCATGGAGGCACCCCTCCAGGGACAAGCTAGCTGCCACCATTCCCCCGCCCAAGCCCCTCAGCATAAACAAAGAGCCACCTGCAGGAAGCACTATGGCACCAACACAAGCTGCCTAGTCTGCTTATACCAGGTCCCACACCACTGCTCTCTGGTGGTACTGCCCTTCTCAGTCGAGCTTGCATCAGTCACAGTGTGGTGGGCCCCTTCTGTAGAAGACCAAAGAAACCCCTGCTCACACCACATCTCCTGAATAGAAAGCTCTGCAGTGCTTCAGTTCTAATGGAAGTATTAGTTCTCATTTCACAAGCAGACCAGAGCACACATAGTTAAAAGTTGCCACGTTTTGGCCAAGAACCAAACACTGCCCACTGCAGGCAAGGAGAACCTCTGAGGACGACTGACCTGAAGGACAGAGCAGCCACAGCACAACAGCAGAGCACAGGCAACACACACCAGAGACACTCCCTGAAGCTCTAGGCCATGGATACTGTATGGCCTCTTCTTCATAAAGCCATTACGCTCAGGAACAGGAAATATTACTGGCTTTTCTAACACAGAGAAGAAGACAGAGACTTAGAAAAAAATGCGAAGACAGGGGGATTTATCCCAAATGAAACAACAAGATTAGGTCACAGCTAGAGATCCAAGTGAAAAAGATATAAGTAACATGCCTGATGGAGAATTTAAAGCAACAATCATAAGGATACTTGCTGGGCTTGAGAAAAGAATGGAAGACTTCAGGGAGGCCCTTACCACAGAGACAAAAGAGTTAAAAAAGAATCAGTCAGAAATGAAAACTGCAATAACTGAAATGGGAAACAGACTTGATGGAATGAACACAAGGCTGGAAGAAGCAGAAAAATGAGTAAGTGATGTAAAGGACAAAATAATGGAAAATAATGAAGCTTAACAAAAGAGAGAAAGAGAAATTATGGAACACGAGAATAAATTTAGGGAACTCAGTGACTCCATCAAATGTAGTAACATTCATATTTTAGCAGTCCCAGAAGAAGAGAAAGGGGGGGCAGAAAATTTACTTAAGCAAATCATAGCTAAAAACTTCCCTATCTGGAGAAGGAAACAGTTATTCAGATCTGGGATATACAGAAAACTCACATCAAAATCAACAACATCAGGCCAACACCAAAACATACTGTAATTAAATTTTCAAAATATAATGATATAGAAAAAATCTTAAAGCAGAAAGACAAAAGAAATCCCTAACTTACGGGGAAGACTCATAAGGCCAGCTGCAGATTTCTCAACAGAAACACGGCAAGACAGAAGGGAGTGGCATGATGTACTCAAAGTGCTGAATGGGAACAATCTGCAGCCAAGAATACTCTATCTGGCAGGTTGTCATTCAGAATAGAAGGGGAGATAAAGAGTTTCCCAGACAAGCGAAAAATAAAGGAGTTTGTGACCACTAAAACATCCCTACAAGAAATATTAAAGGTGACTCTTTGAGTGGAAAGGAAAGACCAAAACTGACAGGGACAAGAAAGGAACAGAGAATATCTCCAGAAACAACAAACAAATAATTAAATGGCACTAAATACGTATCTATCACTAATTACTCTGAATGTAAACGGACTAAATGCTCCAATCAAAAGATATAAGGTGTCAGAATGGATAAAATAATAAACCCATCTATATGCTGCCTACAAGAGACTCATTTTAGACTGAAAGCCACCTGCAGATTGAAAAGGAGGGGATGGAGAAACTTTTATCTTGCAAAAGGATGTCAAAAGAAAGCCAGATTAGCAATACTTATATTGGACAAACTAGAGTTTAAACAAAGACTGTAACAAGAGATAGAGAAGGGACCTATATCATAATAAAGGGGGCAATCCAACAAGAAGATCTAACAATTGTAAATATTTATGCCCACAACATGAGAGCACTGAAATATATAAAACAATTAATAACAAACATAAAGGAACTCACTGAGAGTAATACCATAATAGGAGACTTGAACACCCCCACTTACATCAATGTACACCTCATCTAAGCAGAAAATCAACAAGAAAATCAACAAGAAAACAATGGCTTTGAATGACACCTTGGACCAGATGGATTTAACAGATATATTCAGAATATTCCATCCTAAAACAGCATAATATGCATTCTTTTCAGGTGCACATGGGACATTCTCCAAAACAGATCACATACTAGGTCACAAATAAGGCCTCAACAAGTACAAAAAGACTGAGATCATGCCATGCATCTTTTCTGACCACAAAGCTATGAAACTTGAAGTCAACCACAAGAAAAAATTTGGAAAGACCACATGGAGGTTAAACAACATGCTATTGAACAATGAATGGGTCAACCAGGAAATCAAAGAATAAATTTAAAAAATACATGGAAACAAATGCAATGAAATGAAATGAAATGAAAATGAAAACATGATGGTCCAAAACCTTTGGGATACAACAAAAGTGGTCCTAAGAAGGAAGTAGACATAGGAATACAGGCTTAACTCAAGAGGCAAGAAAAATCTCAATTAACTACCTAACATTAAAATTAAAGGAGCTAGAGAAAGAACAACAAACAAAGCCTAAAGCCAGGAAGAAGGAAGGAAATAATAAAGACTAAAGCAGAAATAAATGAAACAGAACCTAAAAAACAGCCAGTAAAACAGATCAATGAAAGCAGGAGCTGGTTCTTTGAAAAGATTAACAAAATTGATAAACCTCTAGCCAGACTTACCAAAAAGAAAAGAGAAAGGACCCAAATAAATAAAATCACAAATGAGAAAGGAGAAATAACAACCAACACCGCGGAAATACAAGCAACTAGAATATTATGGAAAACTATACGCCAGCAAATTGGACAACCTGGAAGAAATGGATACATTCTTAGAAACATATAAATGACGAAAACTGAAAGAGGAAGAAATAGAAAGCTTCAACAAACCAATAACCAGCAAAGAAATTGAATCAGTAATCAAAAATCTCCCAACAAATAAAAGTCCATGGCCACATGGCTTCCCAGGGGAATTCTACCAAAC